TGAACCCGCGACCCTCAGATTGTGAGTCGAGCGCCTTATCCACCTGGCCATGCCGGGCACTTCCCTATGTTTTAAAAGCAAACCGATCTCGACCAATTCAGCTCTAAGGTCAGCAGGAACTGGCAAAATCCCCCTTAGCCTTACTCATGATAATCTATGAGTAGTGGTCCATTGGATTTGTATTATGAGATTATACTACCATCCAGATTATATCTAGATGGTCTTATGGAACACCTCATCTTGACAGAGCCTGTTGCAACCATGAACTGATATAAAGGTTGCTAGTGCAAAATTGAAATAATAAAAACATAGTGAGATCTAAAGGAAATAAAGAGGGACCCAAGAAAGAAAAAAGAAAAACTGTTTGTCAGGTAAGAAAGTGACACACATCCTTGTTAAAATCTAGCAGAAGCAGTCAATGCAACCACAGGGGCGAAGGCAAAATCCCACAGAAGAGGAAACTGCCAGATCATGGAGGTAATGAGATAGGAATGTCGGGAGAAATCCACATACTGTCCCGCATAATATCCCCCAGAGAACTGTTCAGATGAGCAGCCAATAACATTGATAGATGCCAAATTTGATGAGAAGTGACATGGAGCATATTTTGATCGTCAACAGATAAACCCAAATAGGCTATAGGAAGCCCCCTGAATAATGTAATGGGTGATAAACCCCAGGACATCCCAATGAATAAAAAGGCCGTCCCTAGGGCTCCTGAACAGTCCTGTACAAGCCATAGAACATCAAAGTGCTCTGACTGGACATAACAAATAATCTAGGTCTGATCGATTGTAAAGATGAGAAACGTCTAGTAAATGAATAGGAGAAAAGGATTTATTCCCTTTTCCAGCAGTGAGTGTGTTCAGTAGGAAGGATCTGTCTGGATAAAGCAAAATATAGGTAGAAGGATAGAGAGTTTGCTGAACAGGAATGGTAAATAAATATCAAACAGCAGTGTCTGGAAGCTAACATCAATAAAAATATACCTTTAGGGAAAGGTGCTACAATGAACATGAGGCCACAGGATTGAAAATGCATGTAAAACAATTCTAAAGTCTCAATATGCAATTGAAAAGGTCATTTGGGTTGAAGAATATGAAAGGATCTTAAGATGAGACAGCACAGGAGAGTCAAAAACTGTTCTATATGTAAAATAGCAAAAGGGAGCACCTGAGGATGCTCTATATAATGCAAGGTAGATAAACCCAAACCTCTCTCAAAAATCCATGTCAAAAAACGTGAAACTATGGAGACTGTTAGATGAAGTGG